CGACGACGACTGCTACTACTACTGTAGTACCACTACCACCACCACCGCCACCACCGCCGCCACCGCCACTACCGCCACCACCGCCACCACCGCCACCACCGGCGCCACCGCCGCCACCACCGCCAACGCCACCGCCCCCGCCACCGCCACCGCCACCCCCCACCCCCACCACCACCCCCACCACCACCACCACCAACACCACCACCACCGCCACCACCACCACCACCACCACCACCACCGGGCCCGCCCTGTCACCGCAAGAAGAGTCTTTACACGTCTTGAAATGAATATCCTAACCCTGCAGCCGCGCGGCCTGAAAACCTTTAGCCTTACATAAAGCTTGAAAATGCCAAACCCAAATCCTAAACCCTTGGCCTTGGCCCAAAACCCCGAGCCCGAGCAGCGTCTGCAGGTAGTCCCGGGCATCACTCCACCGGGGCTGCGCGAAGCGGTCGCAGAGGCAGAGGCTCCTTGGCTTAGGCTTCAAGGTCTCAGGGTCTACAGTGAACCCCAGAAAGTTGGAAACCGGAATAAGGATAACTAGTGCTGGGAATCCCTATACATGACTCTTAAGGATTGAGGCTGTTGAGTTTCCAACTTTGGGGCTTATAAGACTGTACATCTAGGCTTTGCGAGGTTCAAGGGTTTAGACGGATTTGTGGTTTGGGGCTCATTCTATGACACTCGGACCAGCCAGTAGATAAGTCTCAGGCCAAGGCACAGTTTGATGCTCAGCCGCCCCCAAACTAGGCCGAGGCTGATTGTGGAAACCCTGGGCTGAGACAGATATGTGGATGACTGAACAATGGAAAGTTGGTAATAGCATCATGACCTGACCAAGTACATACTTGAGGCGATAACTGAACATAAGCCGTTCAATTAGTGCACATTGTTTTGTCTAATCCTCTCCTCAGTCTCACCTTGTCTAGCGAGTGACTTCATGTTTTTCCAAAGGCTACGGCTACTGTGGATTGTGACCTCGGTAACGTAAAGACGGCTGCGGCGCAGCCGGAAGGCCACACCTAGATGTTAGCTCGGACTGTTCGAAAGGATGGCGTGCACTCGAGAGCGGGGCTCGTGCGCCCAAACAAAGGCCCCTGTCACCAGGTCTACCGCATGCTTGTATGCCCAACAGCGGCATATGATTGTCACCATAACTGCTAACTAGGTGGCAGCGACAGCGATAATGGGACTTGTACCTATGCCGATGACGATAATGAAAATCCGGTGGTCGATTTGGATGCTAAAGCACTAACACCGCAGCAACAACAACCACCACCAACACCACCGGCACCAACAACTGGCGACGACGAATTTAAGACGACAACGAGAACGAAAATAGTTGACGACGGTAATGACCAAAATAGAATGGTCGTGACAAAGGCAAGGGAAGGATCCCCCAAACCGTCATGCATTTACCCTGCTTGCGTCCCTCACAACCTTGAATCAGGAACCTAGACTGTTCAGGTTTGGGTTTAGGTTCAGGGCCGACCCTAAACCCCAGCCTGTCTTTCAGCCTACCTCGCTGCGGTATGAGCTGCACCTGAACTGCAATGGCAGGATGGGGGAGGCCCCCCAACCAAGACCCGCAGATCACTGTCCTGAGTCGGACAGTTCGATGTCAAACAAGTTGCTAATTAGTTAGGAACATTTAAGAACTGGTTGTAGTCGAAGGGATTCCCAGCCTGACCTCTCAAGAACTATCTTTTGCCAATAAACCCTTGCTCGTTGCATGCTAAACACTAAATGCACAATCTGAGCCGCAAAGGTTCTGCTGTTCATGTGTCCTTGCTGGCATGTGAAGCACAAGAGTCGCCTAAAACTGACTTCAGACTTGGCGAATCTTGAAGAGGCTGTTGTTTGCTCAACTCCCCCCCCCCAGCTATGGCAGCTATGAGGAGGCAACTTGCACGCTTCAGGTTGTGGACGTGTACCAGCTGCCTACGTGTGCGGTCCTGGGTCCTGGGTGCTCGAAGCCGTGCCAACAACCTAAACAGGAGTCTCCAAACCTCAGCAGAAGGTGATCCTGATTTCCGCCGCACTTGGGCATTAACCTCATACTTTTCACTGTATGGCTATGTTTTGCTACTGTGGTTCAATGTTGGGCAAAATGCTCGTTGCAGAACTCCAGTGTCAGCAGTACTGCCTGCCAACGCCTAAAATTCCACAGCTAACACCATTGCGACCACAGGCTGGAGCTGTACCCATAGCCCCTGGCCCACTCTCAGCTTCTTGGTGAGACGCAAAACCAACGAAACTAAGACCATGAAACCAAAGAGCAGGTTGAGGCGGTGAGCATGCAGAGATGTGAAGTTTTTGGCTTTCTGAGAGACTGGCTTGGTAGGATGAGGCAGTGCGAGTGAGCAGTCGGTAAGCATGGACCCTGCTGTAGCTCCCAAGTCTAGGGTTGGTTCAATCTCCAAACACGGACCGCAAGCCTTACACAACCAAAACAGAAGCGGAACACCAATCTCAAGCACGCAACAAGACGGAGGCAGCCACAGGCGACAGCAAAAGCAGCTCATAGTCGAAGAAGGTGCAGCAATGTGCACTGGCCGCCAGTTCCTGGCCCCTTAAGGCTTCCCATGCCAGAGGTGGGATATCCACCGCTGTACAGTAAACCATGTTTTTTTGGTGTTCCAAAATTAGGTTGAGGTGCCTATCTTGATGCCAAAACTGGTGAAGGGCAGGCGAAGCATCACAAAGATCCAATGGTTATAAGTTCGGAGATTTGGGGCTCTTCGGGGTTTGTGAACTCACCAGAAACAGTTTATGGATTTAGTTGGACCAAAAGCCAAAACGATGTTCAGACATTCCCCGACATGGGCCCCCAGGAATCAAACGACACGGAAGACCTGCTTGATTTCAGGACGGATTTGGAGATTGCGTTGGGGAATAGAGCCGCGGATTGCACTTAGCATTGCAATGGCCAAAACGTCCTTTCTCAGCGGGCCGCGGACGAAGTCGGTAAAGGCGCCCTCGCTGCCATACCACTGGACGATTGCAGTGCGGATGAAGTTCTTGTCGAAATCGCTGGTGCACTGCGCCTCACTGATGTCGAAGCTTTCCTGAAGCTCAGATGCTCGCCACATATTACAGGCACAAAAGGCTGCACGAAACGAGAAAACGACAAAGCAGTACGACTAGCCGAAGTCAAGCATCCAGCTTCGAAAAGAGTGTATGCTTGACCACATGTACTTTGCGCAGCACGTGCAGCACCACGAAGGAAGGCAGGACTCCTAGAGCATGAGACAGATCGAAGCAAACCTCTGAGCGCAAGGTCCTAAGACTCCACCAGATTCCCAGGTAGAAATACTGCATAAGCAAAATCATCACGACGATCATCTCCACGAAGAGTGGAGACAGAGTAATTTTCCCGCTGGGGTTTGCCGTGCGAAATGCGGCCAGCTCAAACACGCACCACAATCCTCAGTCACGGCGTTGCGGTAAACATGCATGGTGCATGTTCAACAGCTGACCAGTCGGAAGGGAAAGCTCAAAGCGTTGAACAAAGAACCACATCTCTTGCACAGCTAAACCAAGGAGCTTGACAAGTACGGAGCCGACCACAGCACTCGCAGCTCTGCAGATATGCTGAGAAACCCACCTATGCCGTAGATACCCCTCTCCATGAGATCCTTATCTGATTGGTGTATGCTGGCCACATCCACGAAGCAAATGTCAGACTGACGGCGTGTGCTCGGGAAGTAAGGTGCCGAGACGAGACCCAGGAAGGTTGCCAGAAAGCTCGCAAGCAGAATCCATGGACCGAAAGGGATTGAGACATCGAGGCCATCTACACGCGCTTGGAACGTCCAGGGGGAAGGGAGGAGTCCAAGCAGACTGAGCGCGGCTGCAGCACCTACCCCGAGTACCCAAACAAAGAGTACCTGGTGCGAGCCCGATTGCATCAAGAGGGACAACAGCTTCCACCTGCCCGCCGTCATCCATGCGTGAGAGAGGAAGACGTCGAACCGTTTGACTGGCCGGGACCGATTCCACAAAGCCGCGCAAGACTTCTCATCCAACTTCGCGGGACAGGTCAGCCACAGCCGCCCACCTTGCCGAAGGGATTCTCGCAAGAAAATGCCACGGGCGATTTCGGCATCCACCTCCAGATGACCGAGCAGCGCCAGTCGCTGGAACTTGTCCGGAATCTTGGGCAGGTTCGAATCCAAGCTTTCGGAACTGGTCACTCGCTCACCGGCTTCCAGCGCACCACACACATCCGCAAAGGACGGGGCCGGTTCGCTGATACTGCCTTGCTGTCCCATTCAATGCTGGCACCTACGGACCTACGGTCGATGGAGAGGGTATAGCTGAGGTCGCAAAGATCGGACCCAAATACACAAAAGAAAGTCACAAGCCCAGGTGTTGAGCCTCTCTTTCTGCTCGGACCGCTGGCCGGCAAGACTCCGAGGCATGACCGCTTCGCCACACAGCCGCGTGGCATGCGAGGTCTGTACAAGCGCCTCTGGCTTTACACGAGGCCTCCAGCCAAGTTGAGTCAGGAGAGCTACAATAGTGGCTGCATCAGTGACAACAACCCCTGCGCTCTGTGCATCTCTGCAGGGTGCCTTCCCAGCAGCCCTGAACAGAGTTCTGCGCCCTGTGCATGGCAGAAAATGTACAAGCTCCCCCAGAATATCCATGAAAGATGGTTGACATAGACTTAGAACCCACAGCTTTGCTGCAAAACAACTACGCCGGCCCAACAGTGCCTATTGACTCCACAGTCGCCAGCTCATTGACGTCAGCCTCTCCGAGACGCTGCAGCAGAGGAGACCAAAGCCTTTCTGCCACGATAGTCTGGACAGGCTCGCACATGCTCTTCCAGCATGCAGTCCGCAGCGGTGCAGAACCGAGACGGGTTTAGATTTTAGGCTTTTTGCAGAGCTTTGCGGCATCTTTCAGGCATGGATGGTATGGTAGAAGGGTTGTAACCACACTGAGGGATTGACGAGGGAAGGCAGAGCGTCGGAAGCTCGTAGCATTACGCAGGGCAAGCCTTTGACGAGCTGAAACTCTCATGCAAACCACAGCCTTCGTCTAGTCTATCCACAGCTTACGTTGGCATTTGTCGAGTCTATCTGACAAGGTCTTGGTTTGGGGCTAGGGTCTGGGGCAACAGTCGCTGATTGCAACAATGAAATCAGAGGCACGGCTGCAATTTCTGAATCACATGTTTTCTCGCTTGTTTACAGCCTAGCTAAGACGCTGGTCTCTCCAACACCAACCAAGCTCAGAAAGCTTCAAGCTGTCCCCTACCCAAGTTGCGCCTGGAAGCCAATTACGTTTACCACTGTCGTGTTTGTTCATAAGATGCTTACTTCTGTTCTTGCGAACTCTTGGACCCTGCTCGAAACCGCACAACTCCATGGATCTACACAACCCGACATTCTGGAGAAGCGAAGAAGCACACGAAGGCGACAGCAGCTTCAAGGCTCGACCTGGCGCTGCATAGCCGGGACTTTCTTCGGAGCGTTTTTGGAAGGAACTGGGTTCAGGGCTTTATTAGATTTGAGAGTTGTAAGGTCTGAGGGTCTGGAGCTTAGCGAGTTTAGCCGATGCCGGGGAGGCATGTAACTTGCGATCCACGTGCGCAGAAGATCCATCTTCAAAATGAAAAACCTAATGGTCGAGACTCCAACTCAATGATATGGACTGGATGGCGCGACCCCGGACTCTTCGTGAACTGACATGGTCGTCTCGCGACCCCGCCCAAATGCCTGACTATGAGATGGGTGCATGGCGTGCCGTCATTTTATGGCCATCCCTACTTTAGACGGGGGGTGGCCCCTGTTTTAAAAGCCCACAAGTAGCATGCACTTCCTTAGGTTCAAAACTTCATTTGGTCAGAGTGCGGGCCTCCGAAAGTGAGCCTTATGGGGAGAAAAAACAGTCACGAGCTCGGTCATCTTCAACATGTACGAGATTTAATCGTGACAAAACGATTTACAAGGCTGGCAGCCCCTGAATACCACAGACACAGAGCCGAACGCGAAAATGCATTGGTCTTGAGGAGTGCATGATAAGGTCTAGCTGCCATCAACGCAAGATAGACCGCATCACACCTCCGAGCCCATAAACACCCGAAGCCCTGAACCACAAGCTCGGAATCATGAAGCTCAGAGTCTGAATACCCCAGGCTGGAAGTCCTAGAGCCACGTGGCTGAAATTGCCGGGGGAACGTGTGTGCAGCGATGGACAGTGCCGAGCCCGTGAAGAAAACGGCAGCAAACACCAAGAAGAGGAGGAGCCTGAACAGAGTCCGCTTCGTTGTCATGTCGGCCTTGCGGGCTGATGTGTTTTAAAATGATGTGTAAGTGCAGAGCGCAGAAGGGCTTTTCAGGCTCGTTTTTGCTTGTTGAGGACGATGCTGATGCTGACGATCACTGGAGATGGTGACACAGGCAATGCTTCGGTCTTGGGACTGCTGTCTCAAACTTAAGGCGAGAATCGTTTGGAAATAGTCCACGATGCCATGCCAGCGGGGTCTCGCGAAGCGGTCGCAAAGGAAAAGGCCCCTTGCAAGGTCTGCGAGTCTAAAGGCTTCGGGAATGTGACAGTGGGCAAGGCTTTTCAAGCATAGCTTGCTCGCGAGCCAAACAAGGGACTGAGGCGACAAATCGAGCGGGGATCAGCACGACAAGACGATAAGGAGGTCGTGCTCAAACCCTTGAATGCTGAACCCACAAAATGCGACCGACTGCCAGTCATTCGCGACAATTGCCGCCGCGGCTCCTTTCTGAAATCGATTCTGCTATATATATATATATATACTCAATGCTCATCTTCCGACTCATAGCCGCTAGACAGCAAAGCTCCTAAACACTAGTGCTAAACCCAAACAGCTGCACTTGCAGATGAGGCGCAGTTGAAGGCAGAACCTTACCCAAACGATGCTGAGACCCAGGGTGCTGCCGATCCTGGGTGCGGGGCAATGGTGGCTCCAAGTCTTGCGTTGTCCGCATTGGGTTGCGAGGCAGCAATCAAAAAGTGAGGCAGGCATGAAGGAAGCACGCGCTCTGCTGACAAACATGACAACCCTCCTGTCTTGGCCTGCTTTGCCACCCCTCCTGGCTGATTTCAACATCATGGGTGTTGAATCCATGGGTTGGTATGCCTGTTGTGCTACACTCGCACGTGCACACACACACACACACATTCTCTCTCGCGCTCTCTCTCTCTCTCTCTCTCTCTCTCTCTTCCTCCCGGGCATAGGGGCCGATCAAAGCCCCTGGGCATCGAGCCCACCCGATGTTGTATCGGGCAAAGGGGAGTGACAAGTGAGTGTAAATCGTCATGGAGGCTAAAGCCAAAGAGTACGCGATAACGGTTGTGTGACGATCGGGCACTCTCAAGGACACATGCAATGGGCAAAAGATCAATTTCATCCCCCGCTTCGACCAACAGTTCTACCCAAGAGAAAAAAGGATGCGATGAAGATGAATTGTCTGTCCCCGGTACAGGAATCCACTCTTTGTGAATTTACTTTGTGGTGCCAAAACTGAGAGGACCGAAAAGAGTAATAAGCAGAAGACTAACACTAGATAACGCTAGTTACCCTTTCCCAAGACATGGCATCACGGAGAGGCTTCAGTACCTTAGAGCTCCTGTTACCCTTTCTCTCTCTCTCGCTCTCTCCTTCGCCAGGGCTATGGACAGGGGAAGTTCCCGTGCCCGCGCGCAAACTGCGCATTGTTGCGGAGGGGAAACTGGGAGATTACGCAAACTCAACCAAAGCTTCAGGTTTCGAAAGGTTGAGAAAGCAAACTTACTCTCCACCAAGGCAGCTGATTGAACGGACGAAACAAACAGAAGGATAACCCCCTAGGCAACAAGCAATTAAAAGGGCGGTTCAGCGCTGCATTGGGTTTTCCCCAGGTGGTGTCACAAGGGTGCAGTTGATGGCTCTGTCTTCCCTCCGAAGTTCCTCAAAGACCCCAAGTCCACAATCCAGCAAACCGGAACACCCGTCTTAAAAGATTGGAAAAAGTTGAGCGATAGGGGTTGCCCCCATGAGGTACTGAAAGCGAAAGGAGAAAAAACACTCAGTTGAGCGAATGGAGCGCAGTATGCATGCCAGTACACCAAACGGAGTAGAAAAGACTTTCTCTCACATTGAAGGTAAATCTTCATGTCGGGGGCTTCCTCGTGTCTTGAAAGAAAACTACGGGCTCATTGGACTCAGGCGAGGTACTCCCCGGTCTCACTGTCGTTTCTGTCGCTTGTGAGGAGGCGTCCATTTGTCCTGCGTCCACACCTTCTCAGCTCGCATTTGTCGTCGATGGGCTCGGTAGGACGCTGTGACTGCTTGCCGATGTGCGTGCCATTTTTTAAAGTCGGTGCCATATGCTTCTAAGTTGAAGGGAGCTTTGCACGCTGTTGTTGGTTGAGGCTCGGCGGAGGCCCCGCCGGGAGTGGTGGCGCGTTGTTGGCTTCCTCCTGTGGGTTCTGGATTACCCCCAGTTGTAGTCGGAGCCATAGAAGAGGACGACGCGGGGTTGGAGCATCTGTCGTTGCATCGTCCGTGCCTGCCTGACAAGGTGTAGTCCCCGATGCCAGGCTTTGTTTGTTCGAGCTCCGGGCATAGTTCCAATATTTTGTGGTTATTTTTGTTGTTTGGACTAAGAACTAGTGTGTTTCCCCCGGGCTCAAACCAGACAGTTCTTGTGGACGCCTGAATTAGGGTCACATCCTCGGAGGGTACCTAGAATTGATAGCAACCAACGACATCCCCCACATCAAGGACATGACACACTGAGTTCACTTGCAAGGGGCTTCGCACACATGTTGGAAGGATCCCCTAAACCAGTGTCCAAGACCAATCAAAGACCTCAAGAAAGACCTTCTGGATGAGTACGTCCCCCGGATTAAGCGGACTGTCCTAGTGTCCCCCAGTAACCCCAGTAGCTATCAAAGCAACTGTGGTCCACCGGAGTCAAAAGTGCTGCACTGCCGCGTTTGACATGCCTAGAAAGCAGACTGATCAATCATCACTACCGCACAGTAGAAGCACAGCTGAGATCAACTCCTAAATGAATTTAATCCACAAGTCTGCAACAAACGATCAGTTCCCCGGTTAACTTCTGCAAGGGAGGTGGGGATGAAAAACAAATGCACATCTCTCTCTCTCTCTCTCTCTCTCTGGGTGCTGGTTTTAACAAACCCTCCGACCTTTCAAGAATTGGTTGTATATCTGCGGGTTGATCGACACTATTGTTCCGATGAGTGACCATTCAATACCCCTTGCGCACGCCCTTGCGCACTC